AGCGCAGTAACAAAATAAAATAATAGAATAAAAGTAGCTGTAATATAATAAATGTAATATAACAAATAATAATAAATGTATAATAATATAATATAATAATATAATAAATAGGTAATTGCAATATAATAATATATAGTAATAATACAATAAATATACTGTAATATGATAAATAGGCAGAATATAAAAAAATTGTTTCTCATTGAATCATTATGTCTTTTAAAATTCAGCAAGTCTTTGAAAAGTCTCGACTGTCGATCGATCTATACGTATGTGCGTAAAAAATTTTTTTATCCATTCTAAAATTTTCCAAAAAATTGTAAAATTTGAAAGGATTGTCAAGGGAAATTTTATAAATTCCAATTGAAATGCTGCGGGGCATAAAACTTATGCACAGCAATGACTTTCCTGAATTTCTGAGTTAATTTAATGACTTTCTGACTTAAGTAACGCTAATTAACGCTAATTAATGACTTTCTGACTTAATTAACGCTAATTAACGGTAATTAATGACTTTCTGACTTAATTAACGCTAATTAACCAATGAACGTTGTTCACGCGTTTAAAAAAAAAAAAAAAGAAATATTAATATTCCGCGCGTTAAATGAATTTTCGAAGCATCGTACGCACGCGACACGTTCGATATAATTAACATCGTTATGCCGAAGCGGAGGATTGATTAAATTTTGTTGTGTAGAGAGTGCTATTGAAGTTTGTTAATATATACCCATAACCTGCAAATTCGTCCAATGATATTATCGTCCTGCAAATTAATTAGCTAAATGCACCCACTCGTTATAAATGTTGGGCATCGTTGTATCAAAATATAAACGAATTCAATTATACGAATATATGTTAATACACGCACATACGCATGTATATGTAATTGCACATAAATTAGAGGCCTCTAATATCCAACGTATAACTGCTCGTATATTAATATAATTTAATAGTTGTTGATGCTATATTTTCCAATTATTCGAATGTTTACACGTGTATGAGCACGTAACATGTTTTGTTTGAATTCGATCGACGACGATAGATAAAATTATTTGCAGAAATTTCCTCCCACACAGCGTTACATTAATCGATTATTGAAATAATTATTTATTTTTATATTTGAAAGAAATATCGTTTGCGATGTATACTGCAATTTATTTTTAATTTATTGATTAATATTCATGCTCGCTATTGTGCGTATTCTTTTCAAGATGAACTTGCAAGGATTATTTAATAATAATAAATGTTTCTTTCGTTGTTTCTTCCGCGCGATGAAACATTCAGCAGAATTTACACGGATACAAATAAATTATATATTAAATTTTATATATATATATAATTATACAAATAAATTCAAATAAATTATATATAATTAATATATATATTTAATATATATTATATATTAATATATATATATATATATTAAATATATTATTATATTATATTTAATATATAAAAAATTAAATTTAATATAATATAATAATATATAATTATTATATAATATATATATACCCAATAAATATTATACATATATTATATATAATTATATATTATAATTATAATTAATATGTAATATTTTATATATTAATTATATATTATATAATATAATAATATTTTGATATATTATTATATTATATTGAATATATAAAATTATATATTAAAAATACAAATAAAATATATATAGATATATAATTTATATTTATATTAATTATATATATATACATATATAATTTTATTTATATAGATATTTCCAAGGTCAGGATGCATCAATATGGTGCAATTGGTACAATTATAGTAATTGTTTAATAGATTCTATTAACAGTCTACAAGTTAAGTGTAGTAAGTGTATGACAGACTGGTATATCATGATTTCTGTTCAAATTTATTTACATATACTTCTCAATATGTAACAAATGTAACAAACATCATCTGCATGATTTTAATTAACAATCAAGTTTTTGTTTCTCTTTAAACATTTGAAACTTGCGCTTCTCGAACAATAATTTATCATAAATCCATCTCTGTAACCCAAACATATAAATATAAAGTTTTCAGTACAAATATTGGCAGTTTATAATTGAGAAATATCAATCACTGTATGTTAAAAGAAATAATGCAATCATTGCAAACCAGGAACATTCATACATACACAATTTTATACTTTTATAGGCATAAGTAATGAAAATTAGTTAACTCTTGTAAAATTAAATTACCTGATGACAGTCCAAGAAAAGGAAAAGAGGAGAATGATTGATAATTTAATCGAGATGCACGATTTCACTATAAGAAAAAAAGAAATCATATCTTTCATTCATCGTTCACAGTAGGAAACCTGATTTATTACACGTATTATATATTTACAAATGCGTCGCGTTATTTACTTTCCCATTTTTTATTTTAGTTTTAGATGTCGGTCGTCGAAGCAACAGCACAGTGGGAATGGCGAACACGTAAATATCATCCGCAAAAACATTTCGGGACGTGACAAGCATTTTATCCGAAAAAAGACATTGCCGAATTCGCGATAATATTCGCCCATCACACTCCTGTCTCAGTTTCATAAATTACCGTCTATCCACATTTATCTGTGTATACAGGGTGTCCGATTTTAATCTACAAACGGAAAACCAATCGTTTTGAATGGCAAATGTATAACTTCGAAGAAATGATCAATAAATTAAATTATTAATTCGATTTAATAATTTAGTTTTAAATAATATAATAAGTAATACAATAAATAATTATAATATAATGTAATATAATATAATATATAAACGATGATAATAAATTAATTATTATTATATTATAATTAATTAATTATTATTATTGTAATATAATAAATATTAATATTATTATAATATAATATACAATATTTATTATTATTATAATATAATATAATAATTATTAATTTTTCAGTAAATGAATACCTAGAAGTCATAAAAATTGATTCGTTATTTCCTTACAAAATTGTGTTAATTCATTTAGTTCAAAAAAAAAAAAAGAAAACAAAAATTGGTTTAGTAGGTATTTTGATTTTAATTTCGCGAAATTAAAGTCAAAATCTCTCTTTAATTATATAATAGTCTTTCGATGTACGTTGATCAGTAATTTCTTTTATGGAAAATATTGAGCAGTATCACTTTTATATGGTCTCTGCACGTTCATTCATAGAAAAATTAATTACAGATTGGAATTCCCTCGAAATCATTCACTTCCTATCTAAACCATTTCTTTTTTCTTTCTTTTAGTATAATATTAAAATATTAATATTAATATTAATATAATATAATATAATATTAATATAATATAATATAATATGATATAATATAATATAATATAATATAATATAATATTAATATAATATAATATAATATAATATTAATATTATAATATTAAAAATATTAAATTATAATAGCAATAGCCCAGAGTTAGCTAAACTTAAGTATAGGAATTTCCAAGCTCGTCATTTTTTAATGTACTACTCATTAGTGTAATTTCCTACAAAATTAAACCAATCTACTTATGAATTTGATTTCCCTCGAAAACGAAGTCTTAAATGAGAAAATGTTTTTTTTTTCCTCTTCCTGACTCATCTTTTTTCCAAAATCCAGAATCCCTGTATATAAAATAAAATAATATACAAAATATACAAGTATATCAAATAAGTTATAAAAATAAAAGTAGATAAGATAAAAGTAGTAAGTTATAGCAACGTTTAATATTCTTATTATTTGAATTATTTAATTATTTAAATTATTTAATTTAAATTTTATTATTATTATTCTATTTGAATTATTTAAATAATATCCTTATACAACATTAATATTCTCGATGATTATAAACTGTATTCTATAATATATTAATAATAATATGTGATGTATAATAATAATATATAATATAACAAATATATAATAACATAATAATATAATGTGATATAATATAATTGTATTTAAGTAATATATTAAGTAATGGTTATACTACGAATAATTCGCATTTATGAATTAAAATCTGACACCCTGTATATCTGCGTGCCCGTAAATACGCGCGTGTATTAAACATGTCGGAGGGAATAATTTTAAATAAAAATTGCCGATGACGACACTTACAGATTATCATTATTTTATACATCTATCCTACAGATTTATCCGGAAGATTTTTCCCACTTTAGACACTGCTAATTAATTCAAACGTCAAACGTCAGTTTCACTGAGATATCCGTACGTGAAATTTTTAGTCAATTCCAATATTCTCTTAGAATTGAAACGCATCTGCTGCTTTAATCGAGCACGATGTATAAATATACTTTTGATCGATACTTTCGTTGTGGAAGAGAAATAGTTGAACAAAGAGATTTTCAGAGTAGCGCGCGGCTTGGAAACTGAATGAAACGATCGGACGTGAAAGTAACGGATATCACGACTTTTCAGAAAACTTTCTGCACGATTTGGTTAAAAAATTTAACTCGCAGCAAGGAACGAAATAATGTTTCGTAAATTTTGAATTATTTAAATAATCGAGTAAGATACGATTAATTATTTAAAGCATCAATTCTTTTTGTTATATAGTTATATATTACATTATATTATATTGCAATAAAATAAATAATACAAATTTTATATATGTTTTATTGTATTACAGTATAAATTAGCATATATAGTTATATTGATTAGTACATATAAATTATGAAATGATTGGGAATTTTATATGACGTAGTAAGAATATTAAAAAGTAAATCAGTGTTTTATAAATGTTTTTACATCTTTTCTCTCAAACGAATTAAACTGCCTTAATTTTTATCAATTTTATAAATGTTTATCAATAATAATAAAAAAAAATAATTTTTATCAATAATGATAAAAAATAATAATTAATTAATGATCTGAAGATTTTATCGTACAAATTAATTGAATAACATTACTTATTAATAATGAAATAATTGATAGTAACGTTATAAATGGAAGATTGGCTTATAATAATCGTGATAATTTTTCTTCTGATTACAGCGAAACTAGATGGGGTGAAAACGTACATGAGAATGAGAAGAGTGCCAAAGCATTTACAGGTGAAGGTGATCAAATGGTTCGACTATCTTTGGTTAACGCAAAAATGCTCAGACGAGGAGAAAGCTGTCAGTTGTCTTCCCGGTAAGCTTCTCCAATATTTCTGTTTAAAAGATCTCTAATCAAAATTTTTCTAACAAACGAATAATCAAGAACTGTATTGTATTATGTTGCCATTTTATTATATACCATATTTTTAGTATATATTTTATTTTATTATATATATTATATATTTATTTATTTTTATTGTATTATGTGGTATATATATTATATATTTAGTTTTTTATTTATGTTGCCATTTTATTATATATCATACTTTTATTATATACTTTATTTTATTATATATTATATATGTTATATTATATGTTATATTTTATATTATTTTATTATATACTTTATACTTTTATACCAATAACATAAAATATTATTGGTATAAAAATATAAAATATTTATTATATACTTTATATTTTGTATCAATAAAATATATTTTTATGTATTATTTATTACTTGACCTTTGCTTGACGAATACTGGGTCCATTTAGATCAGTCTGCACAAAGTCAATCTCCAAAATTCGATAAGATAAGTAATGACATTTGTTCTAAACATTCTGTTATAATTTTCGTAAAATATATAAAATATATGCGTATTTGGTGTATGAATTACAATAAATGAAAGCTAATAAATATTAGATGTACGTATGTTTATATTCCATAAATGAATGAATTTGTCTTTCTTCGTAATTATTATTACGTAGTAATGAAAAATAAAAGTCCATTGATAGAGAAATGGAAATATTTCATCGAAAAGTTGAAATGACAGAAAATTATTTCTTATGAATTCGAATTGATACAGGACCCATCTTGCGAAAGTTAGTAAATATTATATTTTATATTTATATGTTTCATACATAAATATAAAATATATAAATATTTAATATAAATGTAATAAAATTTTATACTTATACTTTATATTTTAATATGTTGATACAATAAATTTAATAAATAAATAATGCCCCAGTAACAAATCAAAGAACAAGACATGAAAAAAAGAGATTCAAAAAAGGAAAGAAAATGTATATTATTCGCTAAAAAAAACATCATACGCGAATAAACAAATATAAAAGGGAAACATGAAATATAAAATGTACGAAGATGGTTTCGATTTGCATTCCAATTAATTGCAGTAATTTGTCCATAAAATGCACAAACAGGAAATATGAAATATACGGAAATATGGTTTCAATTTATTTCAATAATTACGATAACATCAAATACGCTGGAACATACATCATAAACGAATACACATAAAAGTGGAAAAAGGAAAACAAACCGGTTGTATAAAATGACTTAATTTATTAATTCTAATGATGTTAAATACTGGACGATTTCATATTGCAGGCAAGCAAAAAGAACAAGAAAAAAGAACGAGCTGATTTCAATTTATTTGCAACGTAAAACATTTATTAACACTCGACCAGCCCATTGACAAACGTTGCCCCGAAGTGCATCTATTTGCTCGTGTAATTTTTTCCAGAGCATTTAGCATCGCGCGCGATGTTTTTCCTCCTCGGTAATTCCTTCGCCCACCTCCTTCCTTATACCATCCCATCGTACATGTGAATCGCGTATCAAGCTTTATTCCACTGGATTTACCTTATTCGCAGCAATCTTATTTCGCCGAGCATTAATCTGACGCGCGTAGAGATCTTCCGTCGTACTAGTTTTTATTTAGCCGGAATGACGGACGTTGCAAAACACACGGGATAATTCGTGAAAATCTGCCGCTAAATCTGCGTCTCGCGAGCGTTTCTCAAGCGTTAAAATACACAGGAAGTAATAATTTGTTTGCTCGCGTTTGCATTTTAACAGCGGAAATGAAATAACGAACCGATTCGCGATGCTTGCGCTGCGGAGAGTTTTACAAACTCAAAACGTGGCAGCTCGTGCCTTTTATCGTTGATGTTACAGTTTTCTTACAGTTTTCATTTTTCGGTTATACGAATTTTTACACTTTTGTGTAAATTGATGTTCGAGGTGTAGTCAGATTGTTGCACGTAAAATGTCCGATCATAATAATTGTATGAAATCAGAGAATCGGCCAACTGGCGGCCCTTGCCGTCAGCGCTAGCCCCTCCACTGCATCTCTTCACTATAGTGGAGGGGATAGCGCTAGCGAGCAGAAGAGTGGGGGCAAGAGCCGCCAGTTAGCCGACTCTGGTGTAAAATCATCGATAACTAAAAATGGTAACTAAAAATATTGTTCAATAATACTCATTAGTGATTAATTTACTAATTTGTTTACTATTATTTACATTATTATATATTAATATAATATATTACTAATTTACTAATTTATTTACTAATTAAACCTAACTAAACGTAAAACAATAATTGATATTTGTTTATTGCGAAATATAATAAAATTCCGCAGTCTATTGATAAATTATCGAACTTGATTTTACCGAAAACGAAGGCCTCGCATGGAACAATTTTATTTCACGTGTTCTCGCCTTGTTTTTTTCACCAATTATCCCAATTACGGATCACCCTGTATACAAATATTATTCGTTTCACGTCAAGAATACTGCTATAAGTATAATGAAATTAAACAACAATTAAATAATAATTCGAAGAGAATAGCACGAATGTCACAATAATCGTTACGGAGGGAATTAAAGTTCGTTGGACAGTGTTATTAATGACTACCATAAGAGAAAGTCGACAACCACTATGACTCCCAACAACGTGGACAACAGATTCAAATTGATGATTTTGTTTACTGTGTGACGTTAAAATGTTTACACAGTCGTGTAACGACCTGGACGAAACGACCTGGAAAATCCAGAGTAGAAAAATTGTCTTTTCTTCGCGCGGCAATGTTCAACCACATTCTCTGCGTCAGTGGATCGTTGCATAAACTTCAGCCAGAAGAATGAGAATATCCATCTTTTTAGCATTTTCTTCTTTTGTTATATTATCTTCGTGTACATATACATATATGGCGAAGTGGATGGCTGAAAAACATTGTACCACGAATGACAAAACGAAGGGAGCAACGTTAATGAGCTAACGAAGTGCGATCTGATGTATTCGTGAACGTGGTCAAAGAAATGAAACGTAGATGGAGAACTGGGTTTTGCTTGTGTGGCGAGTATTGCAACGCGTTTTTACAACCTGTGGTACAGTTGGTACGGCATGATATAATTAGAATATAATATAGCCGTGTGATATCCAATTTAACGAAATGAAATTCACACGAGTAATCAAAGTGTGAAAAAATATTCCATCTTTTCAAAAAAAAAAACGAGATAAATCTTCCGACTTTGTTTAACAGATAGACAAAACAGGACAGATAAAAATATAAAATTTAATTTGACTTTCGGAGATCTTCCTCCCATTTCAAAAATATCTCTCATTAATCATTAAACTTTTCTCAAAAAAAAAAAAGAAAATTCAAGATCTTGTGACCAAATGAATAAATATCTTCCAAACCAGCTTACTCAAGAGACAAACTATCGTTTATATACACGACGTGTTATTCGTTTGAACCTAACCCTAAACGAAAGCTATTTTAAAGATTAAAACACATCGATTGGGACGTTGGGACGTTGCAGACAAACTGAAGGCCGAAATCGCGATAAACGTGCATCTGGACACGCTGCGGAGGGTGGAGATCTTCCAGAACACCGAGGCTGGCTTCCTTTGCGAGCTCGTGCTGAGACTGCGACCGGTTCTCTTCTCACCTGGCGACTACATTTGTCGCAAAGGTACGTGAAACTTCTTATTTCCCTCGATTTCTTGCTTCTCACCTCCCTCCTTCGTCCCTTTTTTTTCGCCCTCTTTTCCTTCCTTTCTTCCTCTTACACGACGCGACACGTTTCCTTCCTTCTCCACCCTTCTCCTTCCAGCCCAGCTCTGGACATGACGCTTTTGGAACGAACAGCTGGAACCGCGCCAAGAGATGCACCCCCCTAGCTGGCAAGGGTTTCGAAAGCGATTGCCTACCCTTTCCACTTTGGCCTCGTTGCCAATGGCATACCCAGAAGGCGCAGTTATGAGCGAAATACTTTATTTCCGAAAGATAGGCAACCATGGCGCGGATCGAGGAAAATTATTATTCGTGCCCGAACATGGGGTTTCCGAAGTCGCACACGTTTCGCCAAATTCTTCGACCATTCGAGAATTATCGTCTAACGTTGATGATCTCGACTGTTTTTTTTCGTACTTTACTTTGAATTGATATAGTAACAATTAGTAATTTATATGATAATAATTATTAATTTATAATTTATATAGTAACAATTAGTGATTTATAATTTATAATTTATAATTTATAATTTATAATTTATAATTTATAATTTATATAGTAACAATTATTAATTTATAATTTATATAGTAACAATTAGTAATTTATAATTTATATAGTAATAATTAGTATTTTATAATTTATGTAGTAACAATTAGTAATTTATAATTTATATAGTAACAATTAGTAATTTATAATTTATAACTTATATAGTAACAATTAGTAATTTATAATTTATAACTTATATAGTAACAATTAGTAATTTATAATTTATAACTTATATAGTAACAATTAGTAATTTATAATTTATAACTTATATAGTAACAATTAGTAATTTATAATTTATAACTTATATAGTAACAATTAGTAATTTATAATTTATAACTTATATAGTAACAATTAGTAATTTATAATTTATATAGTAACAATTAGTAATTTATAATTTATATAGTAATAATTAGTATTTTATAATTTATATAGTAATCATTAGTATTTTATAATTTATGTAGTAACAATTAGTAATTTATAATTTATATAGTAACAATTAGTAATTTATAATTTATAACTTATATAGTAACAATTACTAATTTATAATTTATATAGTAATAATTATTAATTTATAATTTATATAGTAACAATTAGTAATTTATAATTTATATAGTAATAATTAGTATTTTATATTATAGGTAGTAACAATTACTAATTTATAATTTATATAGTAATAATTATAAATTTATAATTTATATAGTAATAATCATTAATTTATAATTTATATAGTAATAATTAGTATTTTATATTTTAGGTAGTAACAATTACTAATTTACAATTTATATAGTAATAATTATTAATTTATAATTTATGTAGTAACAGTTAGTAATTTACAATTTATATAGTAATAATTAGTAATTTATAATTTATATAGTAATAATTAGTGTTTTATAATTTATATAGTAATCATTAGTAATTTATAATTCATGTAGTAACAATTAGTAATTTATAATTTATATAGTAACAATTAGTAATTTATAATTTATATAGTAACAATTAGTAGATTTAATTGAAACAAATGCGACAGGTTATTAGGTATTTTGCTGATTATGTTATTCTAATTATTAGAAGACGTCGATGGTTGCACGACTCACTATAGGATAACGTTCTAACAACGTTAGACGTAATTTCACGTTGTCTGCGTTACAAACTGATACAGCAGAGCCTCGTTGAAATGGGAATTATAATACGTAGGTATGTTTAGACGAGATCTATTATATTTTTACAGAGTGGGGATTTGCGTCGAAAAGGGGTATCTTTTTATAGTAAAGTGTGTGTTTTTATAGTGAGTGAAAGTTTTTTTTTTCATAACAATCACTAGTGTCTTGGTGTTTTGAGCAGTATTTCCTTCAAACTGTAGCAGAAAAGTGATCAGTTTGTGAAATTGGTCCATGAATGAAAAGTTAACAAAAAATGTTATAAGATGAACCATGAAGAACTTGAAGCGAGTGAAAGTCCTTTTCTGCCAGTCTTTATGGGACGGAATAAAAGATTTGTAGTGATATAGTGGTACTGCTCGTTAGAACAGCGAGGCTTCAACAATTATGGAATTTGGTATCAAAGATTTTTAAATTAAGCACTGAAGATTTTCAAAAGTTGTTCTATGTTTAGAATAACTTTTGATAGAGCTTGTGTAGGAGTTGGTACAGTGCACAGACACTGCTGTCCCTGAAGGTTTGATCAACAACAACTTTAACCAACAAGTTTCAACCCCAGGAACGATGTCTGTGCAGTTATCTTCACCAGAAGTTATTTCAACAATTTCATAATATAACGGGCTATTTTTTATTCTACGGACAACAGGACGACTATTTCAACAATTTTCTAATTGATTATATAATGAATTTCTGTTGGTCAATAATCTTTAAGCGTGCGTTTAAAAAACTTAAAGAAGTTTCAATACATCTTGTAGGAAAATTAATAATGGAGCAAATAATAATTAATATTGGAGCAAAGAAAAGAAGATTCATTAGAAAAAAGATGTGTAATAACTAAATATAAACGATATAAATATTTAGTTTATAATTTAATAAACGAATATATTTAGTAAATATATAAACAACTAAAAATTTTATAAACCAAAAATCTAAAGATCCTAAGCTTGACTACTGAAATTTCCAATTATCAATGATCCTTAAGCTTAAATTCTTTCCCAAACCAACTCCTAAGCATCCAGAAACTCTTGAAAAAAGAAAAGAATGAAAGGATTAACTATAGCTATTATATAAATAATTAAAATCAAAAATTCCAACATTTTATAAACCAAAAATCTAAAGATCCTAAGCTTGACGACTGAAATTTCCAGTTATCAATGATCCTTAAGCTTAAATTCTTTTCCAAGCCAACTCCTAAGCATCCAAAAACTCTTGAAAAAAGAAAAAGAATGAAAGGATTAACTATAGCTATTATATAAACAATTGAAATAAAAAATTCCAAACTTGATCATCGACTGAAATCTCCAATTGCCAATGTTTAAAAATCTTAAAAAAAAAAAAAAAAAAAAAGAAAAAATGAAAGAGGAAAGAGCCAGCGAGGAGAGCTGCAAGTGAATAAAATCGTCGCTTTAATTAAAGGCGACCGAGCGTGGAATAGTTTTTCGTTGGATTTCGTCAACGATCGGTCAGTATTTCTCCGATATAGTATTTGGGCGAACGAACGTGAGCAGCCAGGCAAATGATTTTCCCTCCCTCCCCGTGGGCGGAACGAAAAAGGGAAAGAGAAAAGGCAGGAAGTGGACAGAGACAGAAGTATCATCGTCTTCTTTCCGGTCTCTTCATCTCCTGTGTGGAAACGACTGTCGCATGACTGTTGGAACGCGACGGCGGCCGTTTCCTACCGTCTTACTGGATGCTTCTGTTTGATGGCCGGCCATACTTTCAGTGCATCACTGCCGCACAGTTGGCGTCCGCCAAGTTCAGTCTGACTTACGACTGCCTGTTACTACTTCGCCCCGGCAACGTTGTCTTTACCGCGGCTTCCTCTAAACAAATTGCTTTCACAACGATTCGCACGATTCTTAAGCAGGAGTTTTTACGAGTATGTGTATGTGTATATTGCTTTTATAACTAATATATATATATATATATATATATATATATATATATATATATTAGTTATAAATTTATAATATTATAATAAACTATTGCTCAATCTCTAATGAATTAAGAAAAGTATAGAAAATTTAAATTGGAAGTTATGAACGTCAGAAAATAGATAATAAGTACAATATAATGTTGTATTATATACAATATAATGTTGTATATTTATGTTATAAATTTTATATTATACATTATAATTTTATATTAATATTATATATATTATACTAGTTAGTTTATATTATATATTATATATTATAGTTTTATATTAATATATTTATATATTATAGTTATATATTAGTTTATATTATATATAATATTAATATAAAACTATAAAATATAATATATAAAATTAAACTAACATACTAACTAATATAATATATATTACAATTTTATATTAATATTATATATATTATACTAGTTAGTTTATATATTATAGTTTTATATTAATATAATATATATAATATTAATATAAAATTATAATATATAATATATAAAATTAAACTGACATACTAACTAATATAATATAAAATATAAAATTTATAACATAAATATACATTATATTGTATATAATAAAACATTATATTTCTGACGTTCATGACTTCCAATTTAAATTTTCTATACTTTTCTTAATTCATTAGAGATCGGGCGATAGTTTATCATAATATTATAAATACTTCTAGTTTCTTTAAACTTCATAAAATTATGAAAGATACAAGAAAGAACATCAAGTCAATCCTATCGTGGCACCTATTAAAAAATAGATTTTGAAAATGTTAATTGAAATATCGTTGCAAAAAGTAAATAAATAAGCTAAGAATAAGTGTCTTAAATATACATTTAAATACACTTCGTTCATTTGATATAGGTATATGCATCACAAATTTAAATCAAAATCAAGAGCATAAATTCTCCACGTTAATCCCCTCGCTTCTTTTAAATGATTCAACGATGTAACGTTTTGCAGCAAGCACTTAGTCAAGCGTAGGTTGAACATGCATAGAAAATCAAGTTTTGACGTCGCTTGATGTGGGTTTAATCCCTGCAACGGATAGAGTAGAAACAAGGATAGAAATAGGATGACGTGGCAGAGGATTGAAACAGAGGAAAATGTCTAATTGTTTGTGCTAACCGTCGACGCAAGTAGGATGTCTTACTTTGTACTAGATTGCTAATGGAACGTTAATAATTGAGATTATGGTAGATATTTGTTACATTTCTCTAGAGACTCTAGACGGATTAAAATTTTTAATTTTGGGTTTTATTTCGTGACTTTGTGTGTCTTTCACAACAACTTGTCCTTAATTGTGCTTTATTGATCCTTTAATTGTTCAGTCCTATTTAGAGCTGTGGATAGAATGGGATAATAATATCTTTTCGCGAAAAAAAACACAAAGTATATTTACCCAAAAATATAATAACTCAGTAAACACGAAATATTATTTTAGATGATGAATCAGTTTTCTTTTCTCACTCTTTTATTACTGTCATGCTCTTATCACTTTACCTCTCTGTTCTGACTCTCTGACTCTTCGATAACAACTGACTCTCTAGAACAGTCTTCCAAACATCATTCACACTAGATGGGACTATCACATTTATACCATAAACCTTATAACTACAGACAAAAGACTCTCACTCATCCAACGACACTCACACCCATACATATAAAACCAACACTCACAAGAGCTACTGTCTCACAATCAATAATAAAATGATTGATTTATTTCTTTCAAGTTTAAAGAGCATAACGTGAATGTGTAAGATGAATATGTTCTCTTCATCTGTTATATTTATCTCATTAAAATTTTATATTTCTGGTAATTTTAAGCATCTCAAGGATTAAAAATTGTATGTACCATAATTCCACAGGTGAAAATTCTTGATGAATATAATTTTATGAAATTCACGCAAACTCATATTTTTTGTGAAAATGATAAATGAGAAAATAAAAATGTTGCAACATGTGTTTTATATTATTTTCACATATTGTACAGATTTTTGTAGCTTTAAAAACTTAAATATAATCTAATTATGACTATTTCCTCGTTCTTCGTGGGTTAATTGTTTGCTTGATAATTTGAATCAACAAATCACGTTTCGTGCAAAATCAGAAAATACTAAACAATGGCTTACGAGTCAAAATTGACAACTCCACGAAATTTATGGAAAATAGTACGTTTATACGAATCTGTTTCAGGTGAGGTAGGCAAGGAGATGTACATAGTGAACAGAGGCAGACTGCAAGTGGTGGCCGATAACGGGAAGACAGTGCTCGCCACCCTTAAGGCCGGTTCATACTTCGGGGAGATCAGCATTCTCAATATGAGGACTGCAGGTAAAGAGTGCGGTAAATATTCCAAGCGGACCAGGGGCCCCGTGAGCTGTCCCCCCTCGTGTATTTCACGATCTCGTTTTCACGATTCACGATTCTTACTACTCTGTGTGTGAGGGCGACACCGTCGAGCCGGTATGAGCCGAACTAAAACCGAACTTTCTACTAAAAATCTCTCCCCTATTTTTTCATTCTTTGTACTTCTTTCTGTCACCGACGTCCCTCGTTGTCGATCTCCTCCTGCTATTTTACCATCGACGATCGCGCAACGAACATTGCGTTGAAACATATTTAACATTTGGCCGATATTTGTCGATTTTCTTATGCGAAAACTGCCATGGAACGTTTTCTCGTAAAAATCATAAATTATAAATAGAATAAATATTAAAATTATAAATAAAATGAATATTTTTAAATCAATGTTAAAATTGTAAATAAAATAAATATTAAAATTATAAATAAAATAAATATTTTAAAATAAATATTGAAATTGTAAATAAAATAAATATTAAAATTATAAATAAAATAAATATTAAAATTGTAAATAAAATAAATATTAAAATTATAAATAAAATAAATATTTTTCGGATATACCACGCATTTCGAGTTCACAAGAGTTAATAAATGTATTTGCGATGAGAAGTGCACATCATACAGAACATGTCTCTGGGATGACAGTTAATGCAATGGATTACTAATTAATTACTAACACGAAAATATCTTAATCTTCAAATATAGTATGTAAATGTCTGTAGTAATGCAAATAAGATTACTATAATTTTGGATATTTAATTTTACACTACTTTGGACAGAGATCAGTAAAAATTCAAAAGTTAAGCAACGTAGAACTCAAATTATTACGATTTTTAATGTCCAATAGAGGTGTTGAATTTTTCGAATAATCGTGCCTATGTTTCTCATGTGAAAATGATAGTACACTAACAAACCACAAATGATAACTCGTTGGTTTTCTAATCTTTTCGAACGATCGAATTATAAATCTTTCCCAAAATTACTAATTTCGTAGGATTATTATAAATTCCTTCTAAAGTTACTATTAATATATACTATTGTTTATAAAAATAATCATTTTCGTTATTATAAAAGGAAGTTAGTCATCCAAAAATAGTAGAAGTTGCGAATTCTTCCCATAAGCAATCACTATAAATAAAAAGTTCCAACATTTTTCGAGGCACATAAATATGATTTTCCGTTTTATACTATTATTTTATAATAGGTCGAAATATTACAAAATTATTTATTAAAATATTACAAATGTTACAAATTATTATCCAAGGTGAAACATACAATTTTTTTGAGTTTGTTTTAATTATTTAAAGTTAATTTCTGTTGGTAAAACAATGATTAAAATTTTCGAAAACTGCACACCAGATTTTGCAAATCAATAAGAATTTTTTAATAAGTGGAGTTTCCAAATTAATGAATAACTTTGTTAATAACATACAATATAATAAATATTGTAGCTATAATTATAATAATATTAATAATATATTCTAATTATATTAATAAATTATAATAATATTTTGATGTAAAAAGAAAATTAATAGTCACATATACTTCAAAAAGATTGGGATTATTTATTAATTATCTGCGAAAAAAAATTCGTAAATTTCCTATTTTTGGATCGTTTAGGGTTTCGTCGTTTTACAAAAAAAAATATATATATATATATATATGTAAAATATGAGATAGGTATATTTAGGATAATTTGCTTTTCTTTACTGCCCGATAATCGAACGTTCAAATAAGAGATGTTCGGATAAAAGGCATTCGGGAAATCTAGAGGTCTTACTATAATGGCTTCATACACATTTTTAAGGCTCTATATATCCCACGTAACTGGGGCAAACTATATTTTTAAAATAGCTAGAGCTATTTATTCGATCAGCTAAAAATATTAGGTCGTTGCACGTGAAATGACCGAACTATTAATAAAATGTTCAACATTCGATTAACAGCGGCAATCGAATTGTGATTTAATAAATTAAATGTATATTTACTATCGTAAAACAAAATCACAATCGTTGTGATTGCAATTCTCTAATTGATCATTGTTAATGACGAAAAAGGAAGTTATAATCATTGTTCTAGTAAAACAAAATTATAGTTATTATAATTTCAATTTTTCATTCATTGATAATTGATCGTTAAAATTCTTTTGTTGACAGTTGTTGTTAATATAAAATTCGTAGATGTGGATTTTTAATAATTCGAAGCTTTTCAATTTATCCTTGAGTATATCTCTCAATCTAAGTTGTTCACATCAGTGATATACGTTAAAATTGCTACATGAAATTCATATGTTTTATTCATCAGACAAAATTTAATATAACACGTACAAAATTAAAATTTTATTAAAAAATACATCTCATTGTGATATGCTTTTTACAGTATGTAAAAGCATATGTGTATGTTTTTTACAGTAAAATAACGAAGCATCAAGCTTGACATTTAATTAGCATGATTCAGTAACACTTTCAGTCATTAAACTCTGAATAATTTTTATATATATTTGAAATCTATTTTATCTATTCCTTTCTGTGCAATTGTATTTTTCTTTTTTATATAAAATCATTTAATTGCTTTTATTGCATTGATTACCATGAAAAAAATATCGAGTTACGAATTCATTAAAAACACATTCATGGAAAGAATGAAACAATATATGAGTTACATGTGAGCTGCAATAAAAAAACAAATTAAAAAAAGAAAAGAAAACGATAGAATTATATTTATACGAGAATCGGTGTGTGAAAATTTACAAAAATATTTTTAAAATCTGCTTCGAATAACATTTTCATCCATCTTGAATTGTTTTGATATAACTGAGAATTAACTCTTACAAAATGAAAAAATTCATTTATTAATTTTCTGCAAATTAATTAAATTTCCACAATTGGACGTATTTCACATTCTTAATATCTACCTGCTAATATTTTCGTCCGTAATTTTTAAGAATACAATTTTTAGTTAAACAAATCTCACAATGTACTTCTATTAATTTTTATTATTTTTTGTTAGTTTCTCTAATAATTTTTCTATTAATTGTATTCTTATTATTTATTAAATTATTAAATACTATTGTATACTTTTAAAATCATTTATATATCCTCGGACTCCTGTCGCAGTTAAAAATTTATTTGCAAGCAATTTTCGGTAAATTTCAGTGACCTTAGCATGATGTAGAATTTAAAACTGCCTTCTACAAAGCATATATTTGCGAATAGAACAAACAGATTTTTTTCTCCATGCAACAGTATCGATGCTATTGTATATTCGAATGAATTCGAATAACCGACACTCACTTTGTTATTCCGATTCGAATAGCACCCTTGTTTTCCCATCTGGATACTTTCCATTCCCTGTTGTTACACAGATTTACCAAACCTCGTGGAAATTACGAAAAATTCTCTCGCGCTGACCGATGGATTATAAATACAGTGTTTCTCATTACTAAGAGAGAAAAAGGAAACATAATTTGGTATTCTCGTGGTAAAAGTGGTATTTAATTGGGAATGGAAAGCGGTGCAAATTTTAATTAGAATTACAAGAATTGTAAGAGTTAGAATAGAATTTTAATTGTTTTATTTTTTAATTTTTTTATATTTTAAAACGATACGTCATGCGACTGTAAACAGTCGGATGTTTTATTCTAAATATTATAAAAACAGAAAATGGTACAAATTTTAATTTCTGGTGAAATAGAAATATAGAATACGATTTCGACTGTTTTATTTTAAATATTATTATTTTATTTTAAATACTATTATTTTATTTTATTTTAAATACTATTATTTTATTTTATTTTAAATACTATTATTTTATTTTATTTTAAATACTATTATTTTATTTTATTTTAAATACTATTATTTTATTTTATTTTAAATACTATTATTTTATTTTATTTTAAATACTATTATTTTATTTTATTTTAAATACTATTATTTTATTTTATTTTATTTTAAATACTATTATTTTATTTTATTTTATTTTAAATACTATTATTTTATTTTATTTTATTTTAAATACTATTATTTTATTTTATTTTATTTTAAATACTATTATTTTATTTTATTTTATTTTAAATACTATTATTTTATTTTATTTTATTTTAAATACTATTATTTTATTTTAAATACTATTATTTTATTTTATTTTAAATGTTATATTATTTTATTTTATTTTAAATATTATATTATTTTATTTTATTTTAAATGTTATATTATTTTATTTTATTTTAAATATTATATTATTTTATTTTATTTTAAATGTTATATTATTTTATTTTATTTTATTTCTAATAGACACAGATTAGTAAAAAGTAAAGAGTCTCATGTTTTATTATTACTATTCTTTAATATCTTTATGTACGTTATATTTGATAAAGTTAATATCCTCAAACGCATCCCACTCGTTAATTACGCTCGTAGTCAAACACTCATAATCAAATCATAACTTCAAATTCTCAAACCACGAATTATATATTCGCGACAGACAACGATTTTAAAGTGAAAGAAAAAAAAGAAAGGAAAATCAGAAAGGGGATACGCTACGCTGATACGAGACGTGTGTACATAATTTTAACAACATAGTTCTAAGCAACAAGAAGGAATAGTCGTGCAACGGAAGTACAACTCAAATATGTACATACATACATACATACATATCAAGAGCGACAAACAGGGAAATCGAAAAGGGATTTCACTCGAATTGAGAGATGCTCTCCTCTCATAAATATTCACGCAGGTGTCCGAATTAAAAAAAATCCTATTTATTCTCTCCTCCGTATCCCCCATAAAGTATACTACCCACTCTACACGCGCGCACGATTTCGATTGTCAAGAGAGTAATAGCTGCAATTGAATTAGAGAGAGGAAAAAAAAAAAATCGAACGGGACAAAGTCGTTGCGAGATCGTCGATGCGTATTGAACAAGGCCCGTGACACGTATTGCCCTTTAGCCTTTGGCCCCTCTTCTCTGTTTTCATCGATTAT